AACCTGAGATTCTGGCGTTTTGGGCAAAATAAATTTATATTAAAAAATCGATTCAGGATTTTAATGAATCGATATCACGTTATCCAAGCCAGAATCGATTTTAATCAATAAATCGATTATCAAAACCCACCCCTATCCATCATATTGTACCGCTGCCAGGTGGTGGCAGTCGGGCTACCTGCCTCTACACCCTTCCCTGTAGATGGGTCCCTAAGAAAATATGTATTAATTGCTATATTATCACAGTTACACTGACTGTATTATTAAATTGCAAAGTACATTTTATTAAAAAAAGAAGAGGAATTTCCATTTAAGGAATGGTAAACAAGTAAAGTATTTTTTTAAACCAATCGAAGGAATCAGATAGGAACGGGTACATTACCTTGTATTTGGCCTTCAGGTTGTTCCACGTTCTTTTTTTTTGCTTGTTTGGCTGTTATAGCCTGAAGAGCTAACAAAGTCCCTGAGGGAAAATAATGTGGCACTGTCACTTCAATAGGTATACCTATTGAAGTGACAGTGCCACATTATTTTACGTTTATTATACGTTGATTCAATGACGTCGCCTGATATTGACTCAACGTTGTTTCAATGTTTCCTTGCTATCTGGGTATTTATCATAACAGACGTGTTGCTCTAATCCTTCCCTAGAACACAGGGAGCACTCAAAATCAGTACTTACTCCCATCTAGTCTTGCCGGAATTTCTCCTACCAGTAAAAAAAGGCTCTGATTTGCTGCCCGCCACTCAGTGAGAGCCCGTGTTTCCTCGCGTGTCCTTTGATTAAAATATAAAACGTTAAATATTCCATAATAGTAATAAGTCAAGCAAAGAACAGCTTTTATAATAGGGAATAATGAGCAAAACAATCAGGTGCTCGATTGAAACTTAATGTTCATAGAAACTTCAAATGAATTGAAGATAAGATTTTTAAACGTTATATAGGACAGTGTAACATTTGTGTGAACGACTGGCTATTAAAAATACCAAGGCGATTTATATCAGAGCCTTTAAAGATTGTGGCAAATTTCCAAATGAAATGTCGAGATAAGGCCGTTTTCTTCGGGCACACTGAACCTCGTGCTTGCTATTTGGCAGGCAAGGCATCTCCCAAAAAAAAAGCACAAGGAATTTATAAGTAGGCTCTCTACTGTTAAATGTACTAAACATTAGAATTTTAAATACCTATATTCTCACATAAAATGCATTGAAAATACACTGCATATTACAACTATAGAAGTATTTAACTTTTGTGGGTCTTCTCCTCAACCATTTCCACAGAACTCTTGCGAAATGGATTCTGGGATATTTGGCTGTACCACCAAGTCCACCCAAGTCACCACTGATGCATGCTTGACAAAACGAGAGGAGTGAGAACACATCTGGGAATTTTTAGCGTACTCAGCTTGATGTCTACTTTGAATTGGAAAAGTACCTGGTCTTGACTGACGATGTATCACAAGTCCACGAGAATGCAATTACACACAAGTACGCCTAGTCTCAGATCATTTCATCCATCTTTATGAGCAACATTTTAACTTCTTTAACTCTGGAGTGATGAGCTCCAACAGTATGCTTGACATTTGCTCAGATAGGGCAAAAGAACAATGAAACAGACCAGTCTTTGGTTGTGAATGGTTGCAGTTAATTGTAAGATTGGACTAAGTCAAGATCAAATGTTATATTTTTTTACACACTTTAAATTGTCATAAAGTCATACAAACCTTTTTGACAAGTTCTGAATAGATCTGCAACATATTTAATTATTTGTGCATCTATAATATGCATCTTTTGGAAATTGAATACATAAAGACTATATTTGGTTTTTTTAATCACAACGGTTTTAATATACTGATTGAAAAACTGAAGAGGTTTTTTTTTTAATTGTTGTTGTGTCATTTAAGTGTAGATACTTACATATCCTGTGCCACGGCAGTCCCCTAAACGTGGAAACTAATCTGCTATTGACGATGCCAAAATTGCCTTCATCTCTGAAGTTGGACAAGCAAAAACTTATGTAAATTTCTTTTAAAATAAACAATACATAAAGCAGAAGCTTTTGTATTTTGAGCAGGGTCTGATCGTAGCCAACATTCTCAGCCTCAGCAGCTAATACTTTTAACACCTTAGCCTTGCATGTGAACTAAAAACCAAAAGGCTAACACAAACTATATCTGTAAGGTGTTAAATTACTGTTTTTTACTTTGAGTACATGTAAACTTCGAGCTTAAAGCTCCCGAGGTTTGAGAGCGAAGTTGGTGGCTATATATAGCTGGTGTAGGGGAGACCGGGGATAGTTGTAACATTTTTGACATTTCTGTCTGTAAATTGGAGCTCTTTTAA